GGGACCGTGGCCTCCCCGATCCCCCCTGCGAAAAAAGCCAAACTAGCCAGAAACGAAGCACCTTGTCCTGCAGCAACGCCATCCCTGGAAGTGTTCAAGGCCAGGTTGGATGAGGCTTTGAGCAAGCTGGTGTAGTAGAGGGTGTCCCTGCCCATAGCAGGGGGGTTGGAACTAGATGATCTTTGATCTTCCAACCCTAACCATTCTATGATTCTATGAAATCTGCTGCTTACCTGAGAGATAGATGTTGTCCCCAGCACTGACCACGCTGAAAAACTCTCGATCATAGAAGGGCAGGCTGGCCAACGGGTACCACTTGTTGTTTTGAGGATTTAAGCAAGTGACTGCTGTTAAAGCACGTTGATTCATGCCAATCATCTGACGACCCCCAACTAAGACTATTACCTCGGCTACACCTAGGATTCAAGTAAGAAAAATAATATTCTTAAAAAGTGACATCTCTCAACCAGGCAAGAGCCTATCAAAAAATTCTCAGCAGTCAGGGTAATTTTAATGTATCGTATAAAAATCTGTTTTAGACTGTGCAATCAAACCAGGAAGAGTGAGAAAAACAGGAGTGCATGTGTAAAGGAGGAGTGGTGGGTGAGGAACGACACTATCAACACGCTTGGGAGAACTTGGGAGGGAGCATGCCATCTGGGCAAAATGTGAAGGAGAAAGAAATAAAAAGGCAGTTCCATGTAAAGATGTCTATTGAATTCAACAGTCTTTGAGTGAGACCTGTGTGTAGCAAATTCCTGTTCCGCTGAAGCAAATGGGAATTTTGTTAAGGATTGTGATAGCTTTGGAGTTTGGCCATTGTCCAGGGAAAGTATGGTTGGACTTTAACCTGAAGGTGTTCTCACACTAAAAGCTAATGTCTGGAAGAGATTTAGGCTATAGTTATGGTTCTTCACTCTGATCTTTTCTCTGCATATTCTCTATTAACTTATCATTTTCTGGTGATTTTTTTTGGTGTGCGTGTGTTTTTCCCAGAGAAGGCAGGTTTTCCAGATGTAGATAATATGCTCAAGCCATGGATCAGGGTCTTTTGTGTACTAGGTGCTAGGAAACGTGACAGAGATAGCTCCTGCCCTAACACAGTTATTAACTGAGATTTATCTGTTCTTGAACAGCTCCCCCAAGACCATAATACGCAGCGTGAACAGCAAGTCAAATTCTCTTTTAGTGCAAAGGGACAAAACTTTGGCAACTGAAACCTCAGAGTTTTTATTCTCACTTTACAGCCAGAGCTGAGTCAAATCTGATCTGAGCGTTGCTCCAGACTCATCCCTGCAGTGATGGGGTTGCAGTTTAACTCTGGGACATTTTCTGGCTCCAAGGGAGCTAGGGATATTTTGGATTCAGCATTTAACAGAACTGTTAAAAATCTTTCCACAGCAATTGTAAGCTCAAGTGCAACTTGTTGCCAGGAGAGATAGGCTCAGAAGCAGGACCACGTGGCCATGAGCCGGAAGGATTTGCCATTTTGGGAGCTGTGCTCATGGCTGGACCAGTTGCTGTGATGTTTTTACGGTGCTCAGTCTAGAGATAAGTGTGCACAGGTGGGGAGTGGGGCAGAAGTGCAGAAGTGAGATTGCCAGCAAGAGAGATCAGGAGCTGCAGCGGAGAGAAACGCATCTTCAGAGTAATGGATTATCGTCATTCTTCATTAGCGTTTTCAAAAAATATATTTGTGTCATTCCAGCAAGGTTACTCTCTTAAAAGTTATTAAGTTAAAGTGCTGTACAGTTTTAAATAACTATTTCTCAGTAACAGGAGATCATTATTTTTCCGCCATACCAGAAAATCTAATCACCTGCGCAAGACATAACTTGATTATAATCAATGACCTCGAGAGGGCATGTGACATGCTGCAGCGAGTCCACAAAGGGTGTTTAGAGATCCTTTGTGCCTACATGAATGCCGTTGATATGCAAAATAACATGATTCTATATAATTAGACTCTGACCTAAAAAACTATAATCACCCTCTCTTACCCCGAGAGAATCACTTTTCCCTCATCAACAAGATTCTGGAAATGGTTCACATTACACCTACAATTTTATATACATAAAATAAGCACTTTTCAAAAATCCCTTCAAACATCACACCATTAGTCGTCTTCAATGAAAGACTTTTTAGGGTAGATTGTTATTGAAAGTCCTCTACGCTTCATCCTTCTGAAAGGTGCCTTGATGAGGCAGTCTCCAGAAGCTGCGAAAAAAAAATCTCCGTGCCACATTAGCATTAGTGGCAGCGACAGAAAGTTTTGCCTGACTTTGTGATTGTACTTACGGGAGACAGAAGTACAGGCAGCATGTTAAAACAATTCACCTGTTTCATCTGACTCCTTCTTGGACGCAGTAGTTCTACATGGTATTTGTGCCACTCTCTGCTCAACAAATATTTAGGGTATTTCTCACACTAACAGGATATGGGTTGTGCTGTGAGTTGGGCACTTGGGGTTTTTTTTGTGTGTTTTTCCAAAAAAGGAAAATGCATGCATTCCTCAGGTGAGAAACTTCTCGAAGCAGCACAGTTCTCTATAGTTGCTGGGTTTTTAAAAGGGAATATATCACATGTGATCCATTTGTTTCGGAGGCAGCGAACAGCCTGAACTGGTACTGTAAGACTCACCATATGAAAATAAATTTACACAGGGTTGTGAAAGTGAAGCTGTTTTATGAATATTAGTCAGATCCTCCCCACAAGAGGCTGAATGGCAAAGCAGCAAATTATTCACCTATTTTTGCAGCTAGAGAAACTGAGGCACGGAGGGCAAGGGGCTCACTTTCAGGGCAACAGGGGAACGTCACGGTCTCTGCCAAAGATAATAATTCCTAAAGATTAGGCTCCTTTTAAATCTTGTTTCAGAAGCACACATTTAAACACCCACGTCCGACCATTAGGAGAGGCTCCTAAATGCTCAAGCAAAGTAGAAATGGAAAACTGAGCCTGAGATATCACCATGGTCCGAGAAGGAGCCAAGGGAAGGAGCTAATGTCCGTGTCCCATCCCAGGGCATGTCCTGGCCATGCCCAGGAACCACCAGACCAGGAAGCTGGTGTCGTTGAAGGAAGTTTCGCTTTACCTGCAGAGAGCCTGGGCCGGGTCCTTGGCGTCTGCATCTCTTGTCTAGCGTGCGGCAGCATGTGATAACGTTTGGCTTCGTTCACTAGATCCCGGCAAGCCTCGGAAGACTTTATCAATTCCTCGTTGTCAACAACGTTTAGCAGATAGCTGGGATGGATGAAGGGGAGGCGCACCACTGCCAGCAACTCCGCGGCATACTATGGGGGGGAGAAAAAAAAAATAATATCACACTGCAGCCTTCGTGCTGGAGTTTAGACGCTCGGCATCTCCGCCTCCTTCCCTGCAAACTGTCCCCTGTCACCCAACCTGGAAAGAAGCTTGTCATGAATGCTGCATACCCCTGCCTGGCAATCCGGTGGGACAGAGACAACGCAGCCCTCAGTGCTCCCCGATCCAGGCTGGTGTTGGGGCCAGGAGACTGAAAATAATCTTCTAAAGGTGGCAATTCTTTTTATATAGCACTGTATGAAGGGATTTTTGAAATAAAAGCTCATTCTGAACTCAGGCTGCATATAACACCTTGTGCACTGGAGACACGGAGTAAGCTTTCGAGTTTTCTGAATTAACCTTGAAACGTGAGCGTGGTTGTTGCTTTGTAAAAAAAACCCAAAACAAGTCTTTTCTGGCACTATAAATGTAAAACAAAAGCTGGTAAATAGGGTGGATTTCAACAACTGCTGTGGCAGAGACTGAATAACATCAGCCAATTTGCTAAAAATCTTTTAATTAATAGGGTTTATTTGTTGGTGAAACAACTCATGTAGTTTGAGGTTTTGGGGAAGTCAGACTCCAGAGGGTGCTATACAAATACTGACAGTAAGTTTCATCTTCTAAATAAATACATTAAACCTTGGAGGGCAAAGGACATCTGAGCAAATGAAGCTGTCTGTCACTGAACACGGCTTTAAGGAGAACAAAACCCCAAGAGAGAAAACTGCAATCGAAAAACCAAGAGTCCATCCCCAGATTATTCTTTTTATATATAATTGGTTATATCACAACACAGCGCAAGAGTACAATGAAAAGCAGAGTAATAGGAAAACGTGATTCTCGAGAAGCAATGCACACAACCGGGATGCAAACTAAGGGTGCGCAGCAAGAAAATATAATCATCTGTTGTAATAAATATTCATATAGTGGCAGCATCCAAAAATCCCAACTGGGATTGAGGCCAGGATGCAAATAAATATTCCCGAGGTCCGTGCGACTGGTCCTGAGCAACACCAGGCGCCAGCAGCATCTGCTGCCCTGCAGATGCCTCCGGTCTTCCAGAAGCTACTTGGCTCTCGCTTTCTTTTTCAGCAGCGTGCCTGTCCCTGCAGCGCAGGAGAGCCAACTCACAGCAGGAGCAGGGACAGGAATGGGGCAGGAGCAAAGCGGGATGGAGGGCAGGGATGAGGCCTGAGCCAGCTAATGGGCTGGCCAGGCAGGTGATGATGCAGTGATACCTGGGACTGCTTCCAGGGCATCCCCTTTCCCCACCCAAGATGAAGAAGCAGGCTTCATTTGGGAGGAAAACAGAGGATTTCTCCTCCCAGCAGCGATTCATACCGCTTTTCTGCCGGAAAGTCATGTCAGCCTGGTGCAAGCTCAGTCAAAGCGAGGATGTGACTACCCGTGGGGAGTTAAATCCCAGACGTGCCTGTGGGGCCAGGGCAGGAGGGAGATGACCAGGGTCTCAGGCTGACTCCCAGTCCCCCGCTCACCAGCCTTCCTTGACACTGGGGACAGCAATTTTAGGTACAGCCCGAAGAGTTGAGGCCTGGCCAGCCTGCAGTCGTTTGGGGATAAAAAAGTTGTTTGGATGATGCAAAAGGGATGGAAAAATGACAATGCTCCTCTTCTGAAAAAAAAACAAACAACAAACCATGTGAGCAGCGAGACCATGGCTCCTTGTTATTACCTTCAGCATAGCATGGGGCTGAGCAGGGCTTGAGATCACTTCATCAGCCACCAAACCAGGAAAGAAGAGACTCCTCTCCTTTCTCGTGCTGAAATCCATTTCTAAGGCGCTTTCTAGGAGGTAAAACGGCTGCTCCCCTTCCCCGGAGTCACAAATGTCAGTCACTTGGCTGCAGATATCTTAATGTCATTAAACGGTACCTTGTAGGAGAGGGAGCAGTGGACATATGGCAGTGGGTGGCAAAGCTCTGATTTCAGGAAGTGCTTTTTTTAAGAAGGTTGGGGGCGTTTAACCTTACACGGGAGCCAAGACAAAATGTGGCATCGGGACACAGGAATAATGCGGATAGCGGGTATATGGGGGACGAGCCAGACAGCCCCCACGGGGGAGGTTAATCCCCACTACAGGCTGCTCAGGAAGCAGAACGAGTCACTAAAGGGCAGTTTAAATAAAGTGCAAATTATATGGAGCGTATAGCGGAGCCAGCGCCTTCCCTCAGCGTGGTGGGACACACTGGG